TCAATGACCAATGCATTATATATCTTAGAGTAGGTGATAAGGTCTTTGAGGAATGCTTAGTCCTTTAGTGTCTCATAACCCAATATACTCATATAGGTTCACAACACTTAACCATTTAACACTTAATTACACATTCAAAAAAGAATAACCCAATATCTGCTTAACATATGTGTATACATGCACAAGCCTATTCTTAAATAAATAGGACAAAAATACTCATGTCAATTACAATCCACGTTTCTGCAACTGGTCACGTGGCCTAAGTTGGTATTTGTAACTACCTTCCTCCACTACCCATTCTGTATTTCCTCCACCATCAGCAAGCACCTCTGCAGGTCTTGGCTCTTTCCCTGGGGGAGTGACCCACACTTTCATCCCTGAAGGGTCTGGGTCATTTGTTGTCCTGTCTGCATTGGGTTGGTGCAGTTTCCCATTGACCTTAATCACAGGACATGGTAACACCAAAAGTCACTGTGCTGGGGAGCAAGCCAGTAAGCAGCATTCCTCCATGGCCTGTGCTCCAGCTCCTGTCTCCAGGTTCCTGCCCTGAGTTCCTACCTTGGGCCCCCTGATGAACTGTGACCTGGGAGATGTAAGACAAATAAACCCTTTCCTCCCCAAGTTGGTAGTGGTCAGAGTATTTTGTCACAGCAATGAAGAACAAACTAGGACAGTTGCCGTAAGGAATCTCCTGCCTTCCGGATATAATATTCATTGCCTCCATTGTGGAGAAGCAGTCCAATGTCCCCCTGGTAGTCTGGGTCAATCACCCCTCCTAATACTGTTATTCCTTTCTTAGCCTGCTGACTTAAGGGCATCAGAAGCCCAAAGTGTCCAGGGGAAGTCTTAGCTTCCAGTTCAACGGAATGTTTGTTGTCTCTCCTGGCAGAAGTACTCCCTCCTCTGGAACCAAAACATCCAAGCCAGTAGAGTGCAAAGTAGAGGGTACAGGAAACAAAAATTTTCCTAGTTGGTCACCAGGGGTGATAGTGCGTGGACTCATTCCCACTTCCACCCCTTGATTCCTGGACCCGTGAACCCTGGCTATAGAAGAAACTGTACCATATATTGGTAAAGTTGATTCAAAGCATACACTGCCTTCTGGAGGACCCTGCCCCAACCCTCCAGGCTACTGCCACCTAATTGGCACTGTAACTGTGTCTTTAAGAGACCATTCCATCATTCTATCAAGCCAACTGCTTCAGGATGGTGGGGAACATGGTAAGACCAGTGGATTCCATGACCATGGGCCCACTGTCGCAC